AAATCCCACCCATCATGGTCTTTTACTGCCTTCACCGTTACAAATCAATTACCATAAAATCACCTTAATACCATGATTTGAATTACCCACAATTAATAAATTTATTACAAAGGTTAATGGGCCATTAAAATAAAACGTTACAAAAATAAAACTAACATAGTAGGCAGCCCCCGCGCTTTTCACTTTCCTCCTTTCTCTCTCAACCCTCTCTCTCTCTACACAGTTGAAAGAGAAAAATCGGCCGAATTATTTGTTTTCTCAAGCTGTTTTCGGCCATTGATTTTTTCTCCAGAAGGCCTGGTCAACTTTTGCGGTTTTGCGCCTTCCTATTTTGCTGTGCTATATATTAAAAAAAATATCTTTTCTTCAATTAGGGGGGTCCTTGAGATAATGTAAAATTGTAAATTTCTCTTCGCACCCTTTTTTTTTTTCTTTTTTCTTCAAGAAAGATTTGATTTTTATTTTCTCTGTAGAAAGTGATAATTGCGTCGTTTTTTTAGGGTTTACTTTTTCTTTCTTTTTTTTGTTTGTTAAAAAAATTCGATTTTTAGGTATTTCTGTAGCTAGAATAGTTGGTGGTTGGAAATTGTTTAGGGTTTTGAAATTCTTGAAAAAGTCAATTTTTATTTATTTATTTATTTGAATTATTGCTTCTTTATTTCACTGGATCCGTATTGATTCATGACTGCGCGTTTGAATCTTTGTTTGTTTATATAGGAAAAATAATTGCATACCCATTTCAGGGCAGCTTATTTTATTTTATTTTAATTTTTTTGTTTTTGTAATTTTCAATTAATATCCTGTTAGAAAAATAAATAAAAACGTGATCTTTACAAGCTTTTAACGAATTCTAATCAATCTTTTTTGATGAGCATATTGATTTCTTTTCGCTTGCAATTAATTGAATTTCTCTGTTTATTCCAAGTCTAAGTTTCTTGATTCTGCTGCTTGTTTCAAGATCAAGGCCCTTCTATTGGCCGGGCTGAGCTGAGTTGAGCTGAGTTGCGCTGAGCTGAGCTGAGTTTTTCCCGGTGACATGGACGCAAAAACGAGCGAGGGAGGTGCTGAGATGGCGAAGGCCGATGACGTGTCCCTCTCGAAGATGCTAGGACTAGGAAATCTTAGTGGCAACAGCCTGTGTGACAAAAGCCCCGGTAGTTTGAGCAGCAAAGACATGATTTTTCGGGCGGATAAAATCGATTTGAGAAGCTTGGATTTGCAGCTGGAGAAGCACTTGAGCAGGGTTTGGTCAAGAAACACGGAAAATCAGAACACCAACAATAACAAGCCGAAGGAAGTGTGGGAGATTGATCCTTCAAAATTGCAAATTCGTTATCTCGTCGCGCAGGGTACCTATGGCACGGTTTTTCGTGGGACCTACGATAATCAAGATGTTGCAGGTATTTCAACGGGTCTTTTTCATTTATTTTTTATTCGAATTGTTTATTTCGTAGTGATTTATACGTTTGTTCGGTGCTCAAAGTGGTAGGAATTTTAGGCTGCGAAGATTTTCGTTAAGTAGGGCATGTTTCAACGAATATGGACATATGTTTTTTACGAACATTATTTGATGTAACAATGTCGATTAGATCAGTATTGTACTTGGTAATTTTTCGGGCTCGGTTGAAACAAATCCCCCTTTACACATAACAAATATATATATGGCGCTGTTATAAATTAAATTTCATTTAGACTGATGCATAGAGTTGCTATTTCGTGGTAAACACGTTCATAATGGCAAATTCGTAAATAATCCTTCTCTAAAGTCCTCTCCTTCATTTTAAAAGAAATATTATTTTTGTATATTGTATTTTATCGGAGTTATTTAGGTGATATTTCCGATTTGCAGTGAAATTGCTCGATTGTGGAGAGGATGGCATGTCGACAGTTGCCGAAACAGCAGCTCTTCGGGCATCGTTTAAAGCAGAGGTTGCTGTGTGGCACAAGCTTGATCATCCAAATGTTACGAGTGTAAATATGTTAAGCCCTTTACTGTCTCGATTTTGGTATTATCTGGACTTTGTCACGATTCTTGAACTAATGATTATTACTTAAAATAAAATTAACGATGCTTTTAATTACAGTTTGTTGGTGCTTCGATGGGTACGTCACAGTTAAAAATTCCGTCGAAAAACCCTTCCGAGGGTTTTACGACCCTTCCATCGAGGGCATGTTGTGTTCTTGTGGAGTTTCTCCCCAAAGGGACTTTGAAGAACTTGTTGTACAAGAATCGGAAGAAGAAGCTTCCGTTTAAAACCGTTGTTCAACTTGCTCTTGACCTTGCTAGAGGGTATATTTTATTGTCGGACATTGTTTTCATAATTTCGAGTTTATTGCATTTAGTACCCCTGCATTATATAGAATTGTTGAAATACCCCCCTTGGAGAATTTTTTTTAGCACACAACCCCCTAAATGGCAACCCTAAATGGCGGGTTTTTATGAATAATAAGGGAGGTGTTTGATGGTATTTACAACACGGGGAGTCTTTTTAATAATTGGAGTAAATAGAGGGGTGTTGAATGCAAAAAACCCTTTTATATTGAATATTTGAAACAACCCTATTGATGCATTTTTTAGCACAACCCCCTAAATGGTGAGTTTTTAGAGGTAGTTTGCCAAAAAAAATTGAATCGTAGGGTTTTTTTTTTAATATTTAAAACTCGGGGAGTTTTTTTAACAATAAGAGCAAACAAAAGGGTGCTAAATGCAATAAAATTTCTTATTTTAGTAGTTTTTTTTATTTTTTATTTGGCAGCACCTTAGATATGATCTTGATTTGCAGGCTGAGCTATTTACATTCGAAGAAGATTGTACACCGTGATGTAAAAGCCGAAAACATGTTGTTGGACAATAATCGAAATTTGAAAATTGCCGATTTTGGTGTGGCTCGTGTTGAAGCTCAAAATCCGAGGGACATGACTGGCGAAACGGGAACACTTGGCTATATGGCACCTGAGGTACTATCACTAATCACTAATCACTAATCAATAGATTGTTTTACATAAAACCATAATAAGTATATATGAATTTAATTAATTAGGTTCTGGATGGGAAGCCATACAACAGAAAATGCGACGTATATAGCTTCGGAATTTGCTTATGGGAAACATATTGCTGCGAAGTGCCTTACACCGATCTTAGCTTTGCCGATGTTTCCTCTGCTGTCGTTAGAAACGTTAGTTTCCGAAAAAAAAAATTCAATTACCTTTTCTTTTTCCCCGATTTTTTTTTGTTTATTTATTTATATTAATGCAGAATTTGAGGCCACCAATTCCAAGATGTTGCCCGAGTTCACTAGGGAATATAATGAAAAAGTGTTGGGACGGAAATCCCGATAAACGACCCGAAATGGAAGACGTGGTGAAAATGTTGGAAGCCATAGACACTAGCAGAGGTGGTGGAATGGTACCCGAGGATAAATCTTTCTTGGGCTGTTTCTTCTGCTTTTCGTTCACTCGGGGACCTTAAATCAATTTCTTTTTCTTTTTTTTTCAAATTTAAATTTTCTTCGTTTTTTCACTTTTTTTTTGTTTTTTTTTTTGAGAATAATTTGGTAAGTGAAAGTGAAGATTCAAAGCTGCATATGTATATGAACAAGTTTATCAAGTCAGACCTTTGCTTGAGGTTGTTGATGAGACATAATTTGTTATTTTAAGTGTTTAAATTTTTATATGTAAGTCTGGATTTTTTATTATCATGTAAATACAGGATTATTTAGTCTATCACACACAATCCCTTTTATTATGTCTATTTCAAATTTTGTTAGTCGAAATAGCCGGTTACGAGCTACTGTACAAGAGTGAATGTTTTTACGGCAGTTACATGAATAAATTCAAAATACGAAAACATCTTCAGTTAAACATTTATAAATTAATACAGTCGGGACTAATAATTTCTTTTATTAAATTATTAATTTAACAAAATATTTAATTATCGAACTAATAATTTAGTAGATTTTTACCTAGTCGGGACATGAAAATTTATTATTTAAAGGAAGTTATTAATTTATCGATGTTTGTAGGAATTAATTAAATAAATTCTTGAAAATACAAATTAACATTATTTAATTTAATAAAATAATGTTAAAACCTCTCTCCCAAATTCATCTTTAAAAGCTCGAATTTCTCTGCACTTCAAAATACCGCACAAGAAAATTGAACCACTGAAGAAGATTTGCTGCTGATTTACGTTTTTTCTTAGCCTCAGCGCAAGAATTGTTTTGCAGGTGCTTCTTTCTCATAAGATTTTCTCAGTTAGTACTATTATCTTCTTCTTAATTCTTCATTTTCAAGAAATATTTTATCTTTGTTTAACCAGCTAAGTTGTATGAAAGAGATGTAATCGTAGTGGGTTTTTTTATTAATTATGTTCTTATTTTCCGTTTTGTTAATCACCTTAACTATGTGGAATTTTGTCAATGGGAGGAAATCTATATGTTCTAAGAAGTACCCGTTTGGCATATGCATGCTACCTGTTCGATGAAATGCGCAGATGATATCATATATGTATTTATATACACCTTCTATTTTTTTCTTTCCTATATCATCTTTTTGGATGATTTTGTGCCTCCATCAATACATTGTCTTGCACATGCCCTAGATTCGATGCTTACTCATTATTTTTTTTCTCTGTTCTTTATCAGGATAAACGACAATGTTATCAAAGTCGACACATTTACGTTCTTTGTCACAGAGACATGCTCAATTGTGTTTGAATCGTTTTAAACAAGATTGTCGTAACGACAGCAATGGAGTTGGTGCACTACTGCACAAAACATTTTGCACTGCTGCTGAGCCACTTAAAGTTGATGACTCACACACCACCAAAGCTGAGTCACCCGAGCTTCCTGGTTGGGTTAAGCCTTCTGGTAAGGATAAACCCCCCACCAAATCGGATGATGATGATTTTATCCCTCCATCGGTATCTTATTGGATTGAGAATCACAAGATTCGTGTTCAAGATATCGATATGAAGAGCATAGTGAACGATATTGTCGAGACTGATCTTGATAAAATCAGCAAGGTTCTGAAGAATCAGTTCGACTCCCCTGACTCTGTAGTGAAAGCATTAGAAGGCTTTGATGTTGACATGTGCGAGAGTTTGGTTGAGCAAGTATTGCGTAGATTCAGCTGCGAGTGGATACAAGCTCTCGGGTTTTTCAAATGGGCCGAATCACAAGAGGGGATTAAACATTCGCCCGATATATACAACTTAATGGTTGACAATTTGGGGAAGATGAAGAAATTCGAAGTCATGTGGGGATTGGTTGAACAAATGAAAGAGATGGAAGGGTACATCACTTTGGACACAATGACTAAAATCATGAGGCGTTTGGCAAAGGCTGGTAAGTACGAAGACGCCATCGAGGCATTTCGAAAAATCGAAATCTTTGGAGTAGACAAAGATGTAACAAGCCTGAATAGATTGATGGATGCATTGGTAAAGCAAGGAAGTGTAGAGCATGCAGAACGAGTCTATTTTGAGTTCAAGAACCACATTCCTCCCACTAAGCAGACTTTCAACGTGTTAGTGCATGGTTGGTGCAAAACCAGGCAGATAGATAAGGCTAAAGAAACTATTGACGAGATGAAAAAGTACGGATTTGCCCCTGATTCAGTTACTTACACGAGTTTCATCGAAGCCCACTGCCGCGAGAAGGATTTTCGCAAAGTTAATGATACTGTAGAAGAAATGCAGAAGAACGGCTTTGCTCTTAGCATAGTGACGTATACCATCTTGATGAATGCGTATGCGAAAGCAAAGGAAATAGATAAGGCAATGGAGATTTACGAGCAGATGAATAAGAACAATTGCTGCCCCGATTCTTCGTTCTACAACGTGTTCATTAATTCTCTGAGCAGAGCAGGCAGGCTAAAAGATTCCGATGCTGTTTTTGAGGATATGTCGAAGCAGGGAGTTGCGCCAGATGCATCGACCTATAATACGCTTATATTTCTCGCTGCACAAGACTTGCAAGAAGAGAAGGCTCTAAGTATACTACTGAAAATGGAGGAAAATAAGTGCAAGCCCGATATTGACACTTACGCACCGTTGTTGAAGATGTGCTGCAGGCTGAAGAGAATGAAGGTGCTTTCGTTTTTGTTGAGGCACATGTTTGAGAATAATGTGAGCGTTGATCTTGGAACTTATTCACTTTTGGTGAGTCGACTCAGCAGGAATGGGAGGCTTGATCGTGCTTGTTCGTTTTTCGAGGAATCTGTGATGAAGGGGTTTGTGCCGATGGATTGTACGTTTGAGAATCTCGTTAAGGAACTCGAGAAGAAGGGTATGGAGAAAGAGAAGCAACGAGTTGAAGCAGCTATGGCACGAGCTAAAGAACAACCTGGATTATTCGCGCATTGAGTAACAAAAGATCCTAGGATTTTGCGACTAGTTTTTTTTTTCTTCATGTTTATCAATCATCACTGTGTTAATGAATGCTGTGAGGCACTTTTCATGAATGAACCGTGATGTCATGTATCGGTTTTTAACTTCTTATTTATGGATCTTTTTTTATCGTTTAAGTACATGTCGAATTGAGTCGAGTGCATGATTGTTCGGTCTTTGCTTAAGTTTTCATCGAGCTTCGTAAGTTTTGTTGTTTGAACTTGGTTTTTATAAGCAACCAAGACTGACTATCGAGTAGCTCGATTTTTTGCACATATTTTACCCTTTATTATTTATATAATCGAGATTAATAATGCATAAAAAGATAATTTGTAAAAAAAAAATAAAAAAAACAACATTTTATAAAGTAGCTTGAATTTTTGGACATATTTTATCATTTATAATATATAATCGAGATTATAAATAATGTATAAAAATAAAATATTAATTGAAAAACAAAAAAAAAAAAAAAATGGTTGTTCAATTAGAGCTAGCCCATCAAGCTTTAATGGGCCAAGATGGCAACCGGCTCGTTATCCTTCCACTGTCCGGAGCTGAAGGTTTTCGTTGCTCTGTGAAGCCAGCCTTGCGCTTTGCCCTTCAATTTAGGAGCCACGTGGCCCGAGCCTACGCCCGAACCACATAGCTCAACTCCACACTTGGAATGGGCAGGCCAGCAATTAGCCAGCTTCGGCCCAGCTGGATAAGCTAGCCCAATGTTCAACCACTTCATAGCCCCCACTTGGGTTACAAGCCTTCGTTAACGGCTCGGCGAACAATACTTACTGAATGGAAGATTATATACAAGTCATAACATTGGTTTTCTATCGATGTGGGACATAAAATTGAAAATTTTCAAAAAAATTACAAGAAGATAATAAATTGACATCAGAAATTCTTTAATATTGTTTGAGCTGGAACATTGTTAATTAACTGATCAGTTGCCTCTTTTGTCACAAGAATTAGTCAGTATATATTAATTATGTTGCATTTCTCCATTTTTAATCTTGAGAAAGTTGTCACTGAGAGGAAATCTATATTGTTTGAGCTGGCATTCATTACATATGCATGTTACCTGTTTGATGAAATGCGCAAATGACATTATATATCTATTTACTTTTCTTCCCTGTATCATCTATTTGGATGATTTTGTGCCTCCATCAATACATTATATTGTACATGCCCGAGTTTTGCTGCTTGTTCGTTATTTCTTTCGCCTTTTATGTTTTATCAGGATAATAGAGAATGCTGTCCTCGATTTTATTCGAATAGTATTAAACAAGATTGTCGTAACTATAGTGTCGGACTTGGTGCACTATTGCACAAAACGGTGTTCTCTGTTTCCAAGCAACTCAACGTTAACGATGATGATTTTCTCCCTCCGTCAATATCATCGTATTGGATCTAGAATCACGAGATTCGTGTTCAAGATTCCGACATATTCAAATAAGACCTGCAATATTCTAAAGAATCAATGCGATTCCACCGATTCTGTAGTGAAAGCATTAGATGGTTTTACTGTTGACGTGTGCGATAGTTTAGTTGAGCAAGTACTGTAAAGATTCAGCTGTGAGTGGATACCAGCTTTCGGGTTCTTCAAATGGGCCGAGTCGAAAAACGGGGTTGCACATTCGCCCGATAGTATACAATTTAATGGTCGACAATTTGGGCAAGATGAAGAAATTCGAAATCATGTGGGGATTGGTGGAAGAAATGAAAGAAATGGAAGGTGTACATCACTTTGGACACAATGATTAAAATCACGACGCGTCTTGCAAGGGCGCGTAATTACGAAGATGCCATCGAGGCGTTTTTTAAAAATCGAACTATTTGGATTAAGTAGAGATATAACAAGCATGAATAGATTGATGGATGCATTAGTGAAGCAAGGAAGCGTCGAGCATGCAGAACGAGTCTATTTCGAGTTCAAGAATCACATTCCTCCAAATTCGCAGACTTTCAGTGTGTTAGTGCATAGTTGGTGCAAAACGAGGCAGATAGTTAAAGCTCAAGAAACTATCGACGAGATGACAAATTATGGATTTTTTTTTATCGTTTAAGTACACGTCGAATTGAGTCGAGTGCATGATTGTTCGGTCTTTGCTGAAGTTTTCATCGAGCTTCGTAAGTTGTGTTGTTTGAACTTGGTTTTTATAAGCAATCAAGACTGTCGAGTAGCTCGATTTTTTGCACATATTTTACCATTTATTATTTATATAAATCGAGATTAGTAATGCATAAAAAAGATAATTTGAAAAAAAAGAACATTACATATTATTATATCATTTATTTATATAATCGAGATTAATAAATAATGCATAAAAAGATAATAGATAATTTGAAAAAAAAAAGAATATTACATATTATATTATTTATTTATATAATCGAGATTAATAAATAATGCATAAAAAGAAAATATATAATTTAAAAAAAAAAGAAAAAAAAATGATTGTTCAATTAAGAGCTAGCCCATCGAGCTTTAATGGGCCAAGATGGCAACCGGCCCGTTATCCTTCCACTGTCCGAAGCTGAAGGTTTTCGTTGCTCTGTGAAGCCAGCCTTACGCATTGCCCTTCAATTTAGGAGCTACGTGGCCCGAGCCTACGCCCGAGCCACATAGCCCAACTCCACACTTGGAATGGGCAAGCCAGCAATCAGCCAACTTCGGCCCAGCTGGATACGCTAGCCCAATGTTCAATCACTTTAAAGCCCCCACTCGGGTTACAAGCCTTCGTTAGTGGCTCGGCGTACATAAGTTGCTAACTGGAAGTTTATATAAAAGTTATAAGATTGTTTTTCTACCGATGTGGGACATAAAATGAATGTTTTTAAAATTGACAAGAAGATGACTAATTGATATCAGAAATTCATTACATATGCATGTTACCTGTTCGATCAAATGCGCTTGACACATTATATATGTATTTATTTTATTTTTCTTCTCTATATCATCTCTTTGGATGATTTTGTGCATCCATCAATGCATTATATTGTACATGCACAAGTTTTGCTGCTTATTCGTTATTTCTTTCCCCTGTTCTGTTTTATCATGATAATAGAGAATGTTGTCAAAGTCGAGACAATTTACGTTCTTTTTCATAATGGCCATGCTCAATTGTGTTCGAATTGTTTCAAACAAGATTGTCGTAGCTATAGCAATGGACTCGGTGCACTGTTGCATAAAAACAGTTTTCTCTGTTTCTGAGCGACTTAACGCTAACGATGATGATTTCCACCCTACGTCAATATCCTTCTCCATACTTTGTTACAAAATAGTATTTTTTTCTAGTACAAAATTCATTAATTCACATTATGGGTGAAAATCGGGGCAGATCGAATCGGAATTAGCGCTTTCGAAGACATTCTAATTTTTTCGAAAATGGAAAAAAAACTAATTCCAATTCATGTCCCAACAAAAAATGGGAAAATTGAAAATCAGAAATGGAGAACTTGTCCCAAATTCGAAAATTTTTCGGCCGATTTAAATATAAAATACATAACAAAAAAAAGAAAGTGGTTGTTCAAATCTAGGGCCCAATCCAAGGGAGCAAACCCCGGCCTGTTATCCTCTTCAATTCTAAGGAGATTTGAAGGTAAGCCAGCTAGACCCCTGGCCACAAGGCCTAGCCACGCTAAGCACTTTCCATCTCACTCCGAATGAATTAAGGGCAAGCCGGTAATTAGCACCCCTGGACACTGTGAAATTGGTCAACCACTTTAATGCCCCCACTAGGGTTACAAGCCCACGCTACCTGGCTCGGCGAACAAAAATAATTCCATGCTTAGTTATATACATGTTAGAATATTGGTTTGATATCGATGTGGGATGTTCAATATTGGTTTTATAAGCAATCAAGACTATCAAGTAGCTTGATTTTTTTGCACATATTTTATGATTTATTTATATAATCGAGATTAATAATGCATAAAAAGAAAATATATACTTTGCAAAAAATAAAAATGATTGTTCAATTAGAGCTAGCGTATAAAGCTTTAATGAGTCAAGATGGCAACCAGTCCGTTATCCTTCCACTGCATGTTACCTGTTCGATGGAATGCACAAATGGACGGAGAAATAAAATAGCAAGAGAGAATTTGAGAAGAGAGTATTATTATTATTAAAACGTGCCCCTTACGGTTTTCTTACACTTGCTCACCTGTTCGATGGAATGCGTGTTTTTCTTATGTCTCCGGAAGACACCCTCAAATCTTGTCTTTCCAACGACCACCTCTTCCTTTTATTCCTTCTCACGCGGCCTAAACTATAGTCGATACCTGTCCGTTAGCGAGCCTCGTACTATTGTGTTTTTTTTTAAACGAGCTTCTGGCCCATTTTTGGGAGTAACCTTATTCGATGCTCGATTGGCCCATCTATTATGAGACCGGCCTAGTTTTACCAAACTAACAAAAAAAAAGTGGTTGTTCAATCTAAGGGGGTATGTTATCCTTTTCCATTTGCAAGGAGGACTGGAGAACAATCACGGCTCATGCCGATTTTTCGCGCATGTCCAATGACTTTGACACAGTCGAAGGTCGCTCCGATTTTGGTAGCGCCTCATTGAGGCCCAAGCTTTTTGCTTGGACCCAAGCTGTGCCCTCCGTTTTACTAGGACACGCGTCCGAACTCCTCCCTGTTGGACTTAGGGCAAATCAGTAACTTCACCCACTTTTCGACCCAGTAATTGTTCAACCACTTTAATGCCCCCACTTGGGTGACAAGCCCATGTTACCTGGCTCGGCGAATAAAAAAGCTACGTGCTTTGTTAATATAGTAATTAGAAGATTGTTTCGATATCGATGTGGGATGTGCAAATGTAATCAAATCAATTGCAAATGTAATGTACATTGAAATTCCAACACCAACTTACCTTTTTCAAGATGTAAATACTCTTGGGACAAAGCCTAGTTAGTTAGTTCTATCTCCCACAAACTAACTGCTATAAATTATACTGTACAAATAATTATCAAATTTCACAAAGTGGTGCAACTAAATAAACTGCCTTCTTCTTCCGAAACCCCCTTGCACGCTTGATTCAAGCAACTAGAAATTGTAGAAATTGTGCTTCACAATCGAAATATTTTAGAAATTGAACTGTTTTCCGAATAGATCATTAATTAAGACAGAGATTTGAAGTGACTCCGTCGTGGTAATTTTCTTGGGCTCGGCTTTTGCCATCCATCGCTCCCCAGAAACTCCTCTATTAACCTGCAAAAGACACAAAAAAAAAATTATTACATAAAAAAACAAGAAGTTTGAAGTTATTACATGCCGAATTTATTATATGTACACTCACATGCTGCAAATAGCCTTTTGTGATGCGGCGAGCTCGCGGTCTGGAAAATTGTCTTCCATGTGAAAACTCAACCAAACGTACAAATCAAGAACTTTGTGAATTGATTCGAGTTCCTTGAGTGCCTTGTGTGATTTTGGGATCTTGAGTGTTCCGGGTGTAAATATTTCCTTGAGACGCACAATCCCGTTTTTCGAATAACTTTCTGCAAACTGCAAAAAAAAAAAAAAAAAAAAAAAACACCAAAGTATAATTAAAAATAAATAAAAAAATCCACTTATTTAACAAACAAGGTGGTAATAAGTAATAACTATTAAAAAAAGTGCAAGTAAAAATCACTCACCTGAGTGAGTCCTTGAGATGAGATGTCATCATCCATGTCAACGGGACTAAAAAAGAAAAAGAAAAAGAAGTTATCATTAATACAAGGGTAAATTACGGCCACCCCTGAGGTATGGCCAAATTACAAAAAAACCCCTCTTGTTTGGGTAATTACAGCCACCCCTCCTTTTAAATATTTTTACATAAAATTTATGTAATTCGGTTATCTACCGAACCAAATCGTATATTTAGTTCGATAAACAGTATGAAATGTTGGCGTACCGAAATTTCGGTTCGGTTTTACCGAATTAACATCCCTAAATTTACCTCTAGAGGGGTCTTTTCGTAAGATAATACATAGTTGAGGGGGTGGCTGTAATTACCCAAACAGAAGGCGAGTTTTCGTAATTTAACCATAACTTAGGGGTGGCAGTAATTTGCCCTTAATACAATCAGAGTAACCCCCCATATTTGTAACTGATATATAATAATGTCAAATTGGAATAATATTGGAGAAATAGCGTTTACGTGTCTCTTTATTTAATTTTTGTTTTTTGGGTCAAGGATCAAGAATCTGTCGTTATGTACGAGAAAGTGTTAGTGTGTATGATCTTTTACATATCAAGAAGACGAACGAACTTCAATATTTGAGGTGACGAAAACAAAATTATACTTTTCGATGGGTCCGGAAAACGTTACCTCATCGTAAAGAGATACTTATCATCCAAAGTAAGAGGTAGCTCATCGATAACTGCAGCTACTTTCTGTTTACGACCAACACAAAATCGACAAAAAATAGATATTTTTAAGGAAAATAAAATAAAGAAGTCTCCGATAAAGGAAGCAACGGGGAAATTTTACGTACCAACATTTCCTCACTATCAGCAATGAAATAATTTTCCGACAATTTCGCATTCTCCACAAAATGCTTCTGGAAAATTAAATGGCAAATACGAGGCATCAAAGAAACGAACAATCGACCCCTTTGACTTAATAATCCCCTTCAAAATATTTTAATAGAGAGAGAGAGAGAGAGAGTACCAATATCTGGTATAGGCCATAAGTTGGATGCAAACGTGAATACATAAACAAAAGATCGAAATTCGGAAAAAGTCCAGCTTGCTACATCAAAGAAGACACGCCATTTAGTAATCGTCACGAAAAATCGAATAGCGAAACTAGTAACACAATAATCACCTCTAGAATTGGAGAAGGGGAACTCAGTGACGAATGGATTAAAGGTAGATCTTCTGCATCTAGACACGTCACTTCGCCAGCTGGATATTTCGATTTGTATCTGCCAGCTCTTCCTACAAAACAAAAATCCATAAAATCATATATTAACAACTAAAGATAATACTTAAAGAAAGCTTGTTGTTCCTTTGACGAGAGGCATAAAATCATATATATATTACCAGCAATTTGTTTAATTTCGGAGACAGAAAGATCGCGCATTTCGAGGCCGTCGAATTTCCTAACTGTCGAGAAAATAATTCTGGAAATATTAAGGTTGAGACCCATTCCGATTGCATCACTAGCTACAAGAACATCGAAATCACTGTTTTCGTCGTTGAACATTGTGGCCTGCAATCTTAAAATAAATTAATTAGTTCGGCCGATTTCTGATTTAATCAGATACATTAACCCAAATCTTCCAACATTCTGAGAACATAGATTCGGTGGTTTAAAAGAAAGAAAATACGAAAGGCAAAAAAACCTGTCTGGTTCGAGTTTCTGGGGGCAGTGAACCGTAAACAACAGAGCACAAATGCTGCCTTTCGCTCTCGATTCTTCTCTGTCGAAATTCAATTATTCAGTACAAAATGAAATTGAATATGAACCAATCGAGAATTATATTTCAAAATTCAAATCATGCAAAATTTTTTCTTTTTTTTTTTACCTTTATCTTGTATATCTCAACGCGCGAAAATGTGACAATGCAGTCACCCATTCGAATGTTGGAAAAAGATCCTAGAGGATCCTTCAATGGAACAAGAGGCGAAAGCCTCTCGTAGTATTTAACCTAATTCATAACAAGATAAACACACACGCACATAAGCAAGATCGATGATTTTTGTTTATTTTTTATTTTTCAAAAATTGCAACAAGAGAAGATAATTCATAAAGTGAAACAACGTAAGTGCGTACATCGACATTGTCGTCGGTCGATTTAAGTATTTCTTGTATTAGAGGAACCGCAGCTGCATCACCACACAAGTGTAGCTCATCGGCAGATATTCCTAGTAAAGCTCGTGTAAATGAAAAACCCCGTGTTCTACAAGCCAACATCTGCAAAAACAATGGAGTGGTTTAGGCATATAAAAACTCATCCAATCAGAGCATCTAAATAACGAACATAACTCTTCGATTTAGGCGGGCCCACCTGAATTTCGTCAACAACTGCACAGCTGTAGTCAGACGACACGTCAGCCATTTCGACAGTAACAGACCTATGTTTTGCACCCTCAACTTCATCTCTCTCTTGTCCGGTGATAAGATCACACGGAACTTTTGCTTTGTTCAAACGCTGCGCAACTTCCCACGCCAAAAGTCTCAACGGCCCGCAGTAAATCCCTTTCGTAATTTAATTAATCAAATTCGGTCAACTCAACTAACAAGACCGAATAAATGCAGCAAAAAAAGAAAAAAAGAAAAAAATATTTTAAGTACCTGAAGAACATGATTCCAATCGCTTCAGAGCATGATAAGTCTTCCCACTATTTGTGGGGCCCACGTGTAATATCACATTTCGTTTTTTCCGTCGAGCAACGGGGTACCATTTATGTGGACACCTAAAATACGAAGTAATATTAGGTTTACGTAAAATGACAGGTCACAGAGAATTGCAATTCGTAGTCGGAAATTCATCTCGACATTTTATTCTCTTACGTTAGGTCTGTAAAATCGTATTTCTTTGGACCAGAATAGCTGCTGGCATTTCGTAAGCATTGATAGACACCATATGAAGTTCCGAACTTCGACTTTTTGTCTGAACAGCGAAAAAAAGAGAGAATGAAGATAATCAAACAATTGAATCGGTCACACATGTGGGACTGTATCTATATAAACAATAAAACGAGAATGCATCTGCTTCGTTCAAATGGCAATCATCGTTTCTCCGGAAAAATACATTGACACACATTTATTGATCTTCAATCTAGAATCTAATAACATATGTGTTAACAATTAAGAATCATACTTATTTATGTTAACAAGTCTATGTTTTGAACTACCGACGTTCGTCACACTCTCGTGTAATTCGATACACAATCCAAGATACACACTGCATATATATTTTCTACACACACACATACACACAAACACACACACACACAAATACAAACACACACACACACACACACACACACACACACACACACACACACACACACACACACACACACACACACACACACATGTATATAAAGAAAAATGTTAAAGCTAACGAGCTAGCAAAGAAAAAAGCTCGGATTTTTACAGTGGGTAAGCAAGAAATATTCTTATCTTTCTAATTCATCTTCTTCCCACATCCATTTATTATATATATTAAAAAATTCTGAATTCATGTAAGTCAACCAACTGAAGGAAAAAGTAAAGCAGGAAATTGATAATGGAGGTTACCTGTCAACAAGGTACGACAAAGCCTCCATCGAAAAAGCAGAGAGCCCATTTCTTTTTGCCGTAGCTAATATGTAATTCAGATTGTTCGAAGCGAAATCAACTGGAAAATTGACATCGCCGTGAAAAAAAAAAATTGGAATCGCAAACGAAAAAAAATAGGGTTTCGATAAAATCGAGAAAATATAGAAAGCCCGTATGCTGAATTTTAGAGGAGGTGAATAGTTTCGGCGTTAATGGCGGGTTTTCTCACCGCCGACTCCGATGAATGTTCGGTCTGTGTATATTTGCCGTCTTCCTATAGTTTGTAATTAAATTGCAATTTGGTCCTCCGAAATGATAAAAATATTACTTTGGCAAGTTTTAAATTCCTTTTACCTTTAAGGGGTAAAACTATGAACCCTAAAATTGATCAAGTGAGTCAAATTGGTCAACGTTTTTATATTTCAATTTTTAAAAATTCTCATATTCTCATAACTTGAAAGGTAAATTATAACCGCCTCCCTGAGGTAAAGTCTATTTACGAAAAAAAACTCATAGAAATTACATCAAACCCCATGCAGTTTGTAAATTTCTTACATCAACCCTCCTACAAATAGGTGTTAATGTAAGTAATCTACAAATTACAGGGGTGGATGTAATTATGAAAAAAATGAGGGGCACTTTTTCGCAAATAAACCTTACCTCATGGGAGCGGCTGTAATTTACACTAACTTGAATGTAAACGTGTAAATGCAATATATTGTTACAATCATATAATCTTTAATTTTTTTTATTTTTTTTGAGTAATATAATCTTTAATTATGACTATTAAGTTATTTAAGCTTGACTTTGAACAATTGGGCTTTCATGGGCCATGACTTCATGATTTGGACCTTCATTGACTTTTTTAGCTGAGTAAAATGCAAAAACTCCCCCTGTGTTAATCCTAAAGACCAGAAAACCTCCCGTGATAAATAAAGTGACCTATACCCCCCTGTATTTAAAAGTCAAAGTCGTTTCGCCCCCTCCCGATGGTCTGTGTAGTTCACGCGCTATTTGTGCGACTCTTGTTTGATTTTTGTACAATTTTTTGTATGAAAAGACAAAATCGCCCCTCTAAATCTCTATGATTTTTTAATTTTCAATTTAAACAAATAAATTGTGAAAAGATATGTATTATATAAATAAATTAATTAAAAAATCAACTTCTTCTTCCCTGCCGAGCTTCCTCCACCGCCATTAGAAAATCAAGTTCTACTTCACCAGTTGCCCAAGCCTCCTCCGCCACAACTCCTCCTCCGCCGCCATCTGCTTGTAGCAATTCTCTTTAACATCCTTCTCCTCCCGCTCAAATCTCTTCTCCAAGTTGTCGTCCGGCGACCTCCACTTCGACAAATTCTCCGACGAAGAGTAAAACCCACCGCTGACCCTCTCAAAATCGTCGTCTTCACCCGCAAATGGTCCATCGGCGCTACTTTCAGATTTATTATTTCACTAATCTGCCGCCACCTTCAATTCCACCGTAAGTCCGTACCCCCTTCGTAAATTCCGCCACCACTTCAATTCATCCTCACCGTCTTCAGTTCCGCCTCCAACAACTCAGAATTTCATCCTTGAATCAGGTGAGAAAATAAAAATTCAACACGATTCAGAGGATAAGGAAATCGAGGATGAGCTCCAGCGGCCTTGTGCCGGCGGTTTTCTTCGGGAGCAAACTCGTCGGATCAACGTCCCTCCACCTTGGGGGTTGGAAAAAATCCCCCTTTTTTTTAATTGGGCGGAGATTTTGACGGAGATGGGTTGAATCTCGAGTGGGTTTGAGATTTGTATGATGATAAAAGATAGCGGCGGAGACGGCAGTGGTGGGATGAGGTGTGTATACATGGGCAGAGAGCAGTGTGTGTATTTGTGTGTTATTGTGTGTTTTTCAATTGGAGAGAGGGCTTAATTGAAAATTCAGGGGACTGAATTGAAAATTTCAAAAAGTTTGTTTCAGTCATAAAATTATTCCGGAGGTCGAAAATATTTTTCTGGAGGGCTTTTTCGTCTTTTCGTGAGTGGTCAACGGATGAAAACAAAAAGGGCTGAGTGTGCTTGCTTAAACACATTATAAGGGGGTATTGGTCACTTTTTTTTTCCTAGGGGGTTTTTTGGCCTTTAGAAAAATCACAGGGGGGGTTTTTGCATTTAACTCCTTTTATTCAATATATATATAGTTTTGGACTTTCGACTATTGCATTGCACAAAATTCTTGTTGGGCCTTTAGGTCATTGTAATCGTGTTTCCTTTTAAGCATATATTTCACGTTTTGGGAATGGTTCGGAAATCGGAACACCATAACATCTATCGGAAACGAATTTGGGGGACGTCTTCATAAATATCCAAAAGTTTTGGGGACATTTATAATAATAATAAAAGATAAAAAACGCATTTCCAAATTAAATTAATAGATGTATAAATTAAAATTACTCGAGTTCGATTCACACGTTTAATTAGTTATATTTTGTTTCGGTTCGATTTGAAACTTGGGAACAATTATTAGGTTGACTCGACTAAATTTATTGCATCCATATTTTCCTAGTTTGCATTATTATTTATTGGTAATACTCTCTCTCTCTCTCTCTCTCTCTCTCTCTCTCTCTCTCTCTCTCTCTCTCTCTCTAGTGTGTGTGTGTGTGTGTGTGTGTGATGGTAGTGCAGTCGGGGTGTAATACGCAATGTCTTCAATCAAAGTAAGATGTCAATAATCCATTATTTCAGAATTGAGTTGAAAAATATCTTGTCCTCAATATACATCATACCCCACTACGTGGAATATTTTATCCTAAGATTCTTCCTTTTCTATTTCAATTTAATAATTGGAATTAAGGATTTAATTGCTACATTTTAATCATTTTAATTTTAATTCCAAACACAAGACATAATTCAACTAATAAAAATATTACTAAGTTCAACAATTTATTGATCAATTTGGAGATAAATATCAAATATTAGATCCCTTTTCCACCTTCCATTGAGGCACATAAAGAAAAATTGCATTTTAATCATGTCTTCATTGAATATTAATCATGATTTATTTCTTAGAATATCTTTTTTTTCTTCTTGAAAATCCCCATAAAAAAATGTCAAAGAAGAAGTAGGGCTAAGTGTTGTTACTCCTTTAGATATTCATTTGCCAATTATGGCCCCATGCCCCCTCTAATCTTCAAGACAACACCCTACTTTATACGTTTCTTTATATTATTATTCAAATCTTCACTTTTTGTCAATATCAAATTATTCTTTACACTCCCTTAAATACTAATTATAAGTAGAGTTTGATATATTTATTAATACCAACATAATTTTTTTTTTTCTCGTAGAAGAATAACATTCGATGAGAGTGGAGGCTGGGCTGGACTGCCTACCTGTTTAGATTAACATAGAGTTCGTTCACCTCATTACAATAATCGATGCCACTTGCAGTTCCACCGAAGATGGAGGAACAAGTATAACGTATGCAAAATATATGGCACTATGCGGCAAACAGACATCAAACTATACCACTCCATCCTTGCCCAACGTAGACTAAACGAGAACTTGCCTAATATAAAAAACTACTAAAATTAGACAATGTCGAATATGTAAAAACATGAAAATCATGTGGCATCTATGTAGGAGAATGATGTCGAAGGATGGATATCCAAGCTGCGATTCATCCGAATCATCTGCTGAATAGTCCAAGAAAATTCTACTGTAGTAAGGTACGTATGAGACAACTCGGTCTGAACTCTAACACCTCAAGTTGGCTAATGCATCAGCGACTGAATTACCCTCTCGATAAATATGTGTAATTCGATACTCCAAGGTGGAAAGTGAGTTTCGATCGATAGTTAAATCTTAGTGATTGAAAGTAAACAAATCTAATCATCACAAGTATATGCATGAACTTCCAAATCATGCACAAACTATGGCCTTAATTCGACAACTAATTCACCCACCAAAGAAAATGAGAAGTCGAATCACAATTCACAAACCATATTAGTGGCTCTATACAAAACCTTAATCATCACAAATATTTAGGGACCCAAAATGTAAGGATAAATTTATTAGTGGATGCTTCACTTATTAAGGTTAGTGGGACATTTTTTTCATTCACTAAAGTTGTTAAACCATTTTTAGTTTGTTTGTTTGATTATGGAAAAATGATTATTAATTAATTATGGGACCAAAACTATGCACTCGCGCCGTTTTCCTTAATCTTTGTACTCAATTATACTAATGATTGGTATGTAATCAACTCTTAATCAAATAATGCATTGGCTCAAAACAATCATGGAAAACTAAAGAAACATAAAATTATTAATTAGGACAAAAATCATTAGTTTTCGGATATACTAGTGTCGTTTTATTACCTTTCCTCGTATATAAATTGTTCTTTATTTATGTGATTATGAACAAATTTGTTGGTTTTTATTGGGAAAATATAAAAAAAAAAAGGGTTGAAAATCGCACAAAGTGCCCCAATGTGCTGAAAATGGCAAAAATCACCCCAAACACGCGGGACATCACACAAATTACCCTAAAATATGTTGATAATTGCACAAATCACCCCCAAAATGTGCTGAAAATTGACAAATCACCCCCGAAACAAAAATTGGAAATCTCGTATCCCCATAGCGAGCGATATTTACCGATATTTGAGTACATTAGATACATATGCCGAGTTGAACCGTTTTCATCTGAATCGTATCATGCCGCGATATTGACTACACTAATATGCATAAGAAGAATATTAAATAATCTTAAATATTAAAAAAAAAAGTGTTAAATTATATGGTCACACTAATAAAATTTCAATTAAAATCATATCCACAAGATTTAAATGTAAATATGGTAGAGATAACAAATCCCACAGAATTGGCAGCTTATGTTGGGAAAAAACTGCATTGAAAAAGGAAAGAGCTGCCCTAAATTAATTAGAGCTGCCCCTTTATTGCTATATGAACATTTGTGCCTCAAATTTCTCCAATAAAAATTAAATTTGATTTTTTCTTTTAAATTTATTTATTTAATAATTAATTTAAAATTAAATCCACAGTAAAATAACTGTCATAAGAGAGAACAATGACATAATTCCTTAATATAAACAAACATTGACAACTCCCTTCTCCAAACATCTACAATTCTCTTACAGACAACAAACATCACATCCCAAGAAAAAAGATGAAACATTGTATAAAGCAACAGAACAATATCACATAATAATAATTAATTAATAAAAAAAAAAAAAATATTAACCATGAAAAAATAAAAAGAAGATGAAAAAAATCAGATACTGCAGTGCTCCTATCACTATTACTTCTAAGCTTTATATATATATATATATATATATATATATATATATATATATATATATATATATATATATATATATGTGTGTGTGTGTGTGTGTGTGTGTGTGTGTGTGTGATTGTTGAACTGCTTTCAACTTTGTCTGCAAGACCAAATGGCAAAGGGGAAACACAATATCCAACTTAATAAGAAAGAAAGGATTTTTATTTACTTCTTTTACCAGATTTTGCTGACCAATTTATTTTTATTTAAAGCTAAATAAATATTAAAAGCTCAATAAATATTTAAAAAAAGAAAAAGAAAAATTGTTTGGTTTTAAGTACTGAATTAAAGCAAAACGACATGCTTGTTGTGTTGGCCCATCTATCATGTGGGGCCGTCCTTGGGCTTTGGGTAAAGTGGAAAATAGAAAAGTAAAACACACACATACACCACTGTGTGTGTGTGTGAGAGAGAAGAGAGAGAGAGAGAGAGAGCTGTTATGTTTATGGCTGCACTTTATTCTGTCAAGTTCGATACTTTGCTGTTACTATTGTGTTTACTGAGAACGAGGCTGAGTTTTTTTTCGCGAATAAAGAAAATAAACAAGTTCCCTTAAAATTCTCTCTCCCATCTCTCTCTCTCTCTCTCTCTCTCTCTCTCTGCATTGTCTTGTTATTAAGTTAGTCTTGTCTCATTTTTTTGGGTCTATTTCGTTCTTCTATTCTCATACTGTGTGCTGTGTGTGTGTGGATCAATTACCTGTACAAGCATATTACAGAGGTAATTCAAGAAAAAAAAACATAAAGATTCGATCTTGATTTTGGTCGGTGGGATGCCCAGAAAAAAAAAACTAGAATTGTCTGTAAAGATTGAATTTTTATGAGAATTTTGAAATCCCATTTGTAACCCGTGTCACTGTTTTGCGTTACAGTTTTAATTTTAGATATTTCAAAATCATTATTTTTTTTTGGGGGTGGGTGGGTGGGTGGGGGTGGGGGGTGGTATTATAAAGACTGCGTATGAAGAAATAGGTGCAAGCAAACAATGAAAGAAGATGAAAATTCCAAGAGAAGCAAGGTATTTCTTGTTCTATTTCAATTCTTTCATACTTTCTTGATTAAAAAAAAAAAGATGGATTTTTTATTTATGAATTTTTTTTTTGAGTTTTTATGTTTTTGCTGAAATGGGTTTTGTTTTGGGCATCATGTGACAGCTGTCATGGTCAAAGAAACTGGTAAGAAAATGGTTCAATTTCAAGTGCAAAAGTGCAGAATTCCAAGTTGATGAAGCTGCTGCTTATGGAGGTTTGTTTGTTCAATATAATAATAATAATAATAATCAAGACCGTTGTTGAATTTATTTGCTTTCTTTGTTGACTTGGTCAATGATTGGCCTCTGTTAAATCCCAGGATAAAGGAAACAATCGAATCATATTTTATTCTCTTGTTTTTTGTCTTTCACGGTTTTGTCTTTTTTTAATATATTTTTTTTAAAATTTATTTATTTATTTCAAGATTTAAGGTTACCGGACATTCTAGTTCATTACAGTAATACTCTGTAATAAAAAAATGCTGTTTGATTTCGAGAGCTGAAGTATTAATTGATATTGTGTATAGGTGGTTGTAGCACTAATATGGAATGGAGAAGTAGCTTATCTGAAAGGGAACCTTCTACAATCAAGAAAAGTAAAACTGGTTCGTAGCACCGTAAATCGAACATTTTTTTAAAAAATTACTTTCTTGAAAATCAATCCTTGGTTTGTGCAGAAAATTCACCGAAAAATATGGACCGATCGTTTTCTCGTTCGCGGTCTCGTTCGAGAAGGGGAAAAGGTTATCTCGATCATCCCCAAATTTTAAATATCCAGAATTACAGGTTCGTCGTCTCACTTATAAGTATTATTCGATTACGAAGCTTCGGATATTAATGGATGAAATTCCGTAATTAATTCGATTTGTTTCGGAGCATGCAGCATTTTCGTGTCGACATGGAACGTGGGTGGAAAATCGCCACAGAGCAATATGAACTTGGATGATTGGCTACATTCGGCTCCTCCTGCGGATATATATGTCCTAGGGTACGATTATTATATTTACTCGTTTGTAATTTGCGAATGAATGTATTTACATGGATGCCATTTCATTTTATTTTATTTTTTATAAACCTCATAGGTTTCAAGAAATTGTCCCGTTGAACGCCGGGAATATCCTCGGTGCAGAGGACAACGGGCCAGCCAAAAAATGGCTCTCTCTTATTAAAAGAACATTAAACAATTCACCGGACCCCACAATCGGAATCGGTGGGTCCCACACACCTTCCCCTATTCCCAATCCAATCGCCGAGTGGAACTCCGATTTCGAAGGATCAATTAGGCATCATCACAAAGACTCCGCCTTTTTCCACCGCCGATCCTTCCAGACGCCACATCACCGCTCTAGTAATACGGAAAACGAGATGTGGGCCCCGCAGCCTTGCCTCGAGAGGCGGTTCAGCGTGTGCGATCGCGTAATTTTCGGACATAGGCCGAGTGACTTCTCGTCTAGTCAAAGGCCGAGCGATTGTTCGTCTAGTCAGAGGCCGAGCAATTATTCTTCGGGTCAAAGGGTGAGTGACTATTCTTTGGGGGGTCAAAGGGCTAGTGATTTCTCAAGATGGGGTTTCGACGAGGATTGCATTCTTCCGGAAGATTCTCCTAGTACGGTACTGCATACTTCCGAAGGCGCGTATGAAGTTTCCGGAAGTTCGAGCTACTCTTTAGTGGCGAGTAAGCAAATGGTGGGGGTATTTCTGACCGTTTGGGTTCGGAGCGAGTTGAAGGAACATGTTCGTAATATAAAGGTTTCGTGCGTTGGTCGAGGTTTGATGGGGTACCTCGGTAATAAGGTAGTTAATTATTTAAATTAGTAATTTTTTTTATTTTTTTTCCGTTTGTTGATGAAATAAAATAGGAAGCATTTGTTTTATTACAGGGATCAATATCGATCAGCATGTTGTTGCATCAGACCAGCCTTTGTTTTGTCTGCAGTCATTTGACTTCTGGTCAAAAGGAAGGCGACGAACTACGTAGAAATGCCGATTTTATGGAGATAATTAGGAAAACGAGGTTTCCACGAGTTAACGGGGCCCACGATGAAAAATCCCCCGAGACAATCCTTGAACATGAGTGAGAATCAAGATTCCTTAGTTTCTCAGAAAAAAAATTGCCTTATTCTTTTTTTTTTTTACAATGTGAAGTATTTAACTAATTTTGTTTTTTTTTGAAATATAGTCGAATAATTTGGCTCGGAGATTTGAACTACCGAATAGCTCTGCCGTACCGATCCGCCAAAGCACTCATCGAAATGCAAAACTGGAGACAATTACTAGAAAAAGATCAAGTATGATTTTTTTTTTTAAATATTACATTTTAGTTCTTGAATAGTGTATAAATAATTAAAAAGATCCATTTTTTTTTCCGAACAGCTAAGGATCGAGCAGAGACGAGATCGAGTTTTCAGTGGGTGGAAAGAAGGGAAAATCTATTTCCCACCTACGTATAAATATTCGCATAATTCAGACAGATATTCAGGCGGCGACATGCACCCAAAGGAGAAACGAAGAACCCCTGCATGGTAATAAAGATTTTTTCCCTACATTTAAATAAAAAAAAAAAAAAAATCGATATATATATATATACATGACTTCAAAATGATATTTTAAAGAGGTGATTAATATGCTTAATTTTTTGTAATAAAACCGAAGGTGCGATCGAATATTATGGTACGGAAATGGGCTGCAGCAATTATCGTATGCTCGAGGGGAATCTAGGTTTTCGGATCACAGACCGGTTTCTAGTGTTTTTTGGGCTGAAATCGAATTTGCTCCGAATCGATTGAAAAAAAGCACGAGTTGTTCAAGCTCTAGAGTAGAGGCGGAAGAGCTTTTACCCTACTCGCATGGCTATACGGAACTTTGCTTCTTTTGACCAAAAACGAAAAGAAGGTATAACTAACTAACTTTTTCTCTAATGAATAATTTATATATGCTAATTGTTACTTAGCTAACCTCTCGTATATAACCTTTGTTCGAATTTGCAGGTGGCAAATTGCTTTCGAGGATTAATCTAACATTTAATTTGTAAACTAAGGTAAATTGTAGCTACGAACATACCGAAACTGTGCACATCTATATCCGAAAAATATCCACGAATGATACGTACGTATAAAAATATACGTTCAACAATTGTACGTTAAAAAAAAAGAAGTTAATCCTGCTTACGTTTTAATGTTTTTTAATCCGTCACACATTGCATGTTCACCATAGATTGTTAATTTCACCAATATTCGGGAAATCGAATGATCTGTAGATCAGAATGTCATACCCATTGACATGGTATGAAATTACGTTGTCTCCCGTAGGATCGGGCATCCCAAACGGATCCCGATTCACGGCGACATTCCAATTTCCACCGATCTCGTGGAACATGACAGTAAGATAGCCTTCGATCTGTGCTGCGGCGTTAGGTCCGACAAATTGTTGGCTTGCCTGAATTATATGCAAAAAATAAAATAAAAATAAAAATATAAATACATTTGAAATATGTACGTGACGGGTGTAATAATAATAAAAAGTTCAATTGAAATCCCAAAAGATAATAATCGATTTTCCCCCAAAAAAAATAAAATAAATAAATAACTCAAGAATTTTAATTTACCTGTTCGAATTTGACGTTCAGTAGCAGCGAAGAAAATTATATGCAAAAAAAAAAAAATAATAATAAATACATAGGTACGTGATGGGTGTAATAATACCCCAAAAAAAAAAAAAAAAAATAACTCAAGAATTTACCTGTTCGAATCTATTTAAAGGAGGTATTATTATAATTAGAATAAAGAAGAATATATACGAAACTAATTAATAATATTATATTTCAAATAATATTTATTACGATAGAGTGAGTGATTGACAGGAAATAATATTCATTTCAAATAATATTTATTACGAACAGATTGATTGATTGACAGGAAATACTATTATATTTCAAATAATATTTATTACAATAAATTGGGTGATTGATAGCGTACCGTGAATGCCCCATTTACAGCCGAAATGAAGGTCTGCAGATTCATGTAAAGACAGCTATAGATTGCAATTCCTGCCGCATTGTTTACGTCCGGAAAAGGCGGCGCAGGCGGCGGAGGCGGCGGCGGAGGCGGCGGCGGTGCAACTTCAGCTTCAGCCGGTCCCTCGAACGAGACAACACTATCAGCACTCATGGCCGATGGATTTCAAATTTGGGGAATGGCGGTTATCTAGGGTTTATGAGTTGAATTAATGGAGAAGAAGCTAGCGCGGAGGGATTACAATAATAAAGAAAGTGTTATATATAAGTTTCGATCGACTACTAACCGCCCGCTTACTCATGTATGTATATGTATGTATATATTTACTCCGTCGTTTTTTTATTTCTAACTGTATAACCGCTTCCGCTATGATTCTTCTTTTTTTTTTACGATTTTATAATTATAATTAAATATATGTATGTGTGTAATTGAGCGGTAATGGAGAATTATGGGTTGGTTTTTCATAAAATTGAAAATAAAATTAAATATATTTATTTACAGGTGTACAGAAAATATATAAAGGTTTGAACACGTAGGACGGTCAGCGTCAAAATTAAAATGTAGTGCCACCCCCAACTCCGGAACCATTGCTCATTTCCGCCCCCGCGCCGCCGTCCCAGAGGAGCCGAGTAATTTGGGGTTCAAAATACATTTCCTGCAAGTAATATGTCCATTTATGTTTAATGATGTGGGCTGCGAAACTATGAATCAATTGTCTCGAGATGAATCGGTTTCTTTTGTTCTCCTTGCTTGTAAAGTTATTATGTAACTGTGTGGTAATGAAATAGAATATTTTTAAGTAAGACATGCTATTTGGACTGGTACGAGGTACCTCGTTTTATGCTGCTAGAACTTCTCGGACCGAGGGATTTTGACATTTTGTGATAGAGTCCCGTTTTCTATGTCTACGATTAAGTATGTTATCCGTAGCTTGAGTGAGAATGTTGAGCGAGGATCCGTTGAAAGAAGGATGTCAATTTTGTAATTGTATTGCATTAACTTTTCGAGTAAGGTGGTTTCTTTAACATAGCATGTCACAATCTAGATTATATCAAACTGGAAGTCTTTGTCAGTATACATTACACTCATTTTAAGCACACCTTAAAACTTTTATTCTTACGATAAAAAGGACCATGTATGTAATGCAACCACTTGTTGACCTGGTGAACTTTTTATCTCAATTCCTAAAAGACAGCTTTATTGTTGTAAAATGATTTTTGTTCGACGACTTTTGTCCCATCCCCACGTGTCTGCGCGTTTGAGAGTTGATCGGTTAAACCGATTAAAAATAACCAGAACAGAGAATCGCTTTGAATTGTTACAATAGATTCTTTGGTCTTAAGGCTTTGTTCATTTCTCCTTTCTCCCAAATGATGCAGCTGGTAATTATAACGTACGTAAATCTTGGGTTCTTTTTGCTGTTTCTTCTTTTAATATTTATTGCATCAGATTTGCATAATAACCCGTTAAGCTGCTGGTACACCATATTTCTACTTCCGTTTCTAAGATATCAGTTGAATCTCATGGTAATCAGGTAATAAGTACTTTCACTTTCGTTTACCCTGGTAGTAGCCCTTTCAAGAATAATAATTTGAAATAGCTTTTGAGGGAAAAACACATGCATTTGGTCAGGATACCAAACAATTTATATGTTCACATTTTTCTTCGTCGTAATTTCCTTGAAGACGCTTCAAGCTAAGTGCATCGCATGTTCCGTTTCTTTTTCCAATCCTTGAAAGTTTCCCAATTGATGATGGCTGTTTGATAGCTGTTTGTAACTTGTCATTTTTACCTATATTTCGAGATGCCTCTGTTTTTGCTCTATTCTGTTTTTCTACGTTCGTGTTGGGATAGAGTATGTTAATTCTGTAATATAATTTTCTGGTTCAACTCTGTCGTCAAATTGGATAACATCGTGTTGGTGTTTTTTCTTTATACTTTACACGAACTTCTTTTGGTAATGCCAATTAAATCAGCTTCAACTATCTCGAGTTATCTGCACTGTGTTTCTTTTATTTTTTATTATATATTCTATTGTCTTCTCTTTTAAATGATATCGATATTTCAATTTCCGTGGACCTTGGGGCTGTTTCCTTTCTCTTGTTCGGTGATTTCAGAGTATTATACCAATATGTGTAATACTCTGTATACGAACCGGTTCTTGAAACAGAGGCGGGGGAGGCTGTAACTAATCGTATTACATTCCAAATCTTTAAGGTAGAGAGGCATAATTCTTAGTTGTTTTAACCAGTGTAAACAATGTGTAAAATCTCGTACAACTAGTGTTTCTGATTCAGCTTTGTGGGTATCCATATAAGAAAGGCTCTTAATTTTTTCTTTTCTTTAAAGTCGAACGTAACATTTTTCGTTTTCTCAGGTATCAAATGTTTCTGTTGATGAAAAAGAAAACGAATGATGAAGCGTATAAAATCCAGAAATCACAGCAAAAGCCAAGGAAACTACGCTAACAACGTAGAACGTTCAATCCCACTTCAAACAGGTTGATCCCGCCCCCATTTCCAAACAAATAAACACATATGCAGAAACAAAGGAATATTCAAAAGTATCGAGGGATCAATTTATTTAGATACCATAACAGATTGCCAGGGAATATGATAGATACACGAGCAGTTTAATTTTTATTCCAAATGTGAATTCATAATCGACGAAGCTATGTTTGCAGAATTAGGGATCAAACTTGCAAAAACTGATACCAATCCATCAAATTAGCAGTAATTAATAATAACTCGCATTTTCAAGTAGGTGATAATTATTTGCATTCTACAAATTTTCGAGGTCCGCTTTCGTACTACTGCTGACCCTATTGCATTCACTGTCCATTCAGCTGTTCCGGTGGCATAAATAACTAACATGACCGCACAAATCGACTTTTTATCAATTGCAAAGCTGAAAACATTACATAAAAAAAAGATTACAAAAATTCAAAATATATTTAGGAATGAAAGATTACATAAAAGATGCCGGCACCCAAGCTATATTTAGAAAAATATTGAATTTGATTAATTTAAAACTAAGTTCAAAATACGACAAATATATTGAATTTTGAATGTGAATCATTTAAAATAAGATCCAAAAATCGTGGACGGCAGGATTCGAACCTGCGCGGGCAAAGCCCACATGATTTCTAGTCATGCCCGATAACCACTCCGGCACGTCCACATTAATATTTAATGATTCTCATTAATTAGTAATTTTATGAATAACAATTAACAAACAAAAATATTATGAAAAATAGATTAAAATGTAGCTTTTCTTTTGCTGCTAATCCCTATAATTGAAAAAGGTGATGCCTTCAATTATTTTTATCACTGTCTCTTAATTCTTCTGCAAGAGCCAGACAAAAAGTGAGAGGATGCCGGAAAAAAGGAAAAGAAAAATAAAAATAAAAATAAAATAAAAGAAGAAGAGAATTTGCAGGTTATTTCAGTTCATAATTTGAATACACTTTTTCTTTAACCTTATGGCCTATAGCAGCACTGTCAATGTCAGCATGACAAGAGTGCAAGATAGAAATCATCTTCTCTGCCAAAGACAATTTTAATTCGAATTCTTTTGATAAAATAAATATTTTATAAAATCCCCCACATAATTCTTTTACATTGAATAAAATGAGTCGAGAGTCGATGCATGTTTGTTCAAGCTTACGGAAATTCTATCGAGCTTTAAACGTCCATCAAGCACTAGCTAGTAAATTAAAATTTACATTGTATAATGTATACAAATATTGCATCCCAAAATCGAAATGGATGTTCTAATATACAGGAAAAAAAGATTCCAAAATTCGAACAAAAAATAATCGAAAAAAAAAATAATCTATCAATTCCCATTCGTTGTTATGATGTTCAATATTCAAATAGCGGAGATTCACGAAGAAGTATTGCGCTATTTACCAGTGAGTGGTTCTAAACTAGAGATGATCAATGGAAGATGTAGTATGAGTATCACATTAAGAAAAAAATAATTAAAATAAAACAAAGCATCCCAAAATGGAAATGGAAATGAATGTATAGAAAAAGTCTCCAAAATTCGAACAAAAAAAATAGAAAAATAAAAAATAAAAATAAAAAATTCTATCAAATAATCTAAACTAGAGATGATTGTTCATCATATACCACCACTACCAAATGGAGAAACCAAGCTTTCAACATAGACATAGCACCTAACTTTAGCAACAAGCTGTATATCAAGTGGAGACCTACTCACCACATTTTTGCCGTTATAAACAACTATTTCCGATCCAAAAGCCACCGCAATATCTCCATTCTTCCTCCATAAGAAGGGTATCGGACGTCCATTAACACGATCCGCCGGAGCACTAACAAAATTCGACAATGTCCAAACCTTACTCCAAGATTCTCTCTTACCATACTCCGTCATTACCCAAACATCTACGTCCGCTCGACCGTTCATATACGTCAAACTAAGATACCCTCCCAATTCCTCCAACTTTACTACTTTGAATTCGGCATTATTCGTAAAGCTCTGTGGGCCCCCCACAATTTCGTATTTCTCCTCGGTCAAATTAAGGCATATAATGTCGAACCCATCCATGCTACAAAGCCAGTGCAACCTCCCGGCCACAAACTTGCCCGGCAAACACAAACTCTTTGGGGAATTCTCGATTTTCTTCCAAGAATTGGTCTTGGAACTATACATCAGCGTATGATTCATCCGTGACAGATTAGGGTTTCGGTTCCACGGCGAGACTTTATTGCAGACAATTTTGTAGTCATCGTTCGACTCGTCGTATCCCAACCCATACACATAATCGTACCTACGGGGAGGACTAAATATATTCACTTGATCATCATGACCTAATTGAACCTCCTCTTCGTAAAACCCTAAAGGTAGATCGATTTTCTTGTATTTTTTAGTTGTAGGATTCCATAAATACGGTAAATTTGCCCCGGCGGCGACGAGTAGTAGTCCGTTGCACGATCCCATAATCGTAAAAACCATATTTTCATTGAAATCAGATTTGATTATGGGTTGTTTATGAAGAGAGCATGACACGTGGCGGAAGAAGGTGGGGGGTTGATCGTGCTTGAACCTGGTGATGAGCTTATGATTGGTCATATCGGACAAATCTTCGTCGTCCGTGATCGATTTCTTGAGGTGGTGTTTGATGAAATCTTTGTCGGAGATTAATGAATTCAACGATTTCGAAACACACTTGAATCTCGATAGGGATTTCACTGGGAGTTTGTACAGTATCTCCTCCATGATTTCTTCAGGTAGATTCTTCTCCATTCGTTGTTTTCCCATTCTCGTATTTTTTTTCTTTGAAACCAAAACCCTAATATTTATTAAGTTTCAAAACCTAGGGGATACATTAATGCTTTATATATAAAATATTATTATTTGAGAATAATATATATTTTATTAAAATTTAGACCGGGATTCTATTATCTTATTTAGACTACTAATCGAATAATTGTTTTTGAGAAAATATATTTATAATCAAACAAGTTAATCACGATAGGATTCTCTTCCTTATTCTATGCAAAATATTTATATATACATTTTTTTTATATTATTTATTCTATGCAAAATATTAAAGTTATGACATTTGAAGCTTATTTAATTTATACGAATTTTCAGCTTCATAAGGAATAATTAGTGTTGTTATGATAAGCATTAAACTAGTTTTTTTAGCATTTTTTGAGATTATTTAGAAAAAAAAAATTTGGAGATTTGGTTCCGATTCCGACTGGTGTAGCCACTAATTGCTCCTCGTTTTGTCGTATGCGAGTGGGGCAGGATTAATTGCCTTAATTGCCTGATTAAGAACTGTACAGCAAGAATCAATAGTTTTAGGGTTTGGAACTAAGCAATTCTGCAAATCTATTCCCACAAGAGAACATCCTTCGACTCGATAATTTAAGGTTGTCGAGGATGATACCGAGACTACAATAGTTGTCTGAATTATGAACCAAACATAATATTGAAATTTCATTTTCTGATGTTTGAAATATTTTTAGTTAGTATATGTGTCTAAATGGGACTATAAAGAGAGGTTTATATATATATATGAGATACTTATTTTGTGTGCATGTAGTAGGGTGATTTTGGCATGCATGTATTTTTACCTACTCAGTTCATCAAAATCTTCACTAGTCAAATTCATGGAATAGGAGTGCATGTAAATTTGAGGATTAATTAATGCTACTTAACTATCACTTTTAGTATTATTATTATTATTAGAAAGGCTAAGTAAAGAGCAAATGCAATAGTATCCAGCCTTGATTGCCTGATTAAGAACTGTACAGCAAGAATCAATAGTTTTAGGGTTTGGAACTAAGCAATTCTGCAAATCTATTCCCACAAGAGAGCATCCTTCGACTCGATAATTTAAGGTTACGTTGTCGTCGAAGATGATACCGAGACTACAATAGTTGTCTGAATTATGAACCAAACATAATATTGAAATTTCATTTTCTGATCTTTGAAATATTTTTAGTTAGTATATGTATCTAAATGGGACTTAATTAAAGAGAGGTTTATAAGCATTAAGCATATATATATATATATATATATTTTACTATATATATATAGGGATCTTGCCCTTCTTTTTTAGGCCTTTTCTTTTTGCTTTTATTCTGGCCCATCTATTGTTGAAACGTCGTCGTCCTCCTTATTCTCACCAATCACCATCCCCAAATCTTTTCTTTTCCTTTTATTTTCCAACCAGCTCGACCGTGACATGTGTGCTTGATTTTCACTTTTTTTTTAATCTGTTTTCAGCAATACGACGTCGTTTTTTCACCCCCACTAAAAAAAACTCCTCTCCCGGCAGCTATTGTTGACCTCCTTCCGGCCCTCCACCTCCACCTCCACCTCCACCTCCTGCTTCCGCCGATGTCGGCTCCACTCACGTGTCCTCTTCTCCTCGTCCCGCCGCTGCTCCAATCTCCATCTTCATCTCTTTCTCTCTCTCTTCTGTGACGTAAAGGCTACAACTCATTGATCTAGACGGCATCGATCTGAAATCCTCGGAGGAAAATTACAATCAATTTTTTAATTTTATTTTTGGGGAAGAAATTGAAACGGAAAAAGGAAGAACAGAAGAAGAAGATGGAAGAAAAGCTAACGGAGCACGGCAGGTCATTGGCAGCTCCGGTGATTTTCATCCTCGTTTTCTCTCTCCACTTCGTCTCCAAATACCTCGAATTCCACAAAAAGAAGGTTTTTTTTTTTTTTTTTTATTATTATTATTATTATTATTATTATTATTATTATTATTATTATTATTATTATTATTATTTGTTATAATTTGTGTTTTTTCTCGATGTAAATATCGGCATTTATCAGAAATTAGCTTATTGTTGTTAATAATTTTGTTTTTTTCTCTTTTAAATTGTGAGGAAAGGATCGATGAGTGAATTGGACGTTCAATTGCGAGCAGAAATTAGGCAGCTTTTGAAGGAAGCTAGCTCTTTGATGCAGTGAGTGGGATTCGATTTAATTACCGTATTTTTTTCGTTTGATTTTGATGTATCAGATTAAAACTCTCTGATTTAATCTACCTGTGTTTGATGTTGGAAGTTATTCTATTTAGTTTTATGTCGTTGGCTTATTTTTTTCGACGGGAAAAAGCTATTAATGCCGAGTGGATTATCGAAATTGAAACTTAGCGCTTAACATCAATCGTTTCGGATGCGTTGAGTTTCACCACCTCTGGTTATTTATTGAAGAATCGATTTTCCTTTGTTGATTTTTCAGACCTTCAACATTTGTACAAGCTGCAAAACTAAGAAGAATGGCAGCAGCGAAGGAGAAGGAACTTGCAAAAAGTACGAAATTCTGTTTTTATTTAAGTGCAACAATATTCGTGTGAATCGTTCTTTAGAGTGTCTTTTTACGTGTTAGAAACAATTGTTTCATTTCTATGTTTTGCTGATGTTTCCACGCAGATGAAGAAATGCACGACAAGGATATGAAATTGTCATTTGGCACATACGAGAAGCTCTTAACAATATCAAAGGTTATTTATTTAAATGCTTGAGAGGATCATATTGAATTTTATTTCTGGAAGTTATTAAGTTGCGTTTTTCGGACAGGTTCTTACTTACGTTGTGCTGATTTTATGGTTCTGGAAGATACCTATCACTACAATATCTGATCAACTCGTGCAACCCTTCGGTACTTGTTTTCGTCTACCCGTTATTACATCTCGGTTTTTACTGTATATCAAATTTCACTTCCTTAATTCCAGTAAATACATATTTGAAATTGCGTTAAGCTTCATATTTATATGTATAGTCCACTTATTTTTACAGGTAAGCTGCTTTCTTGGAGATCGGGAGCATATTTGAAAGACAATGTTGTGGTAATAATAGCCGTACTTCATTTTTTTTCGTTTCTTTGTATTTTTGTTGAAAACTAAGATATAGATATTATATGCCTGTGCAGGTTGGAATCATACTATGGTTGATTGTATCCACCAGGGTTAGTAGATTTATCTGCAGGAAGGTTTTGGAATAAATCGAAGATTAGCGAGATGACGTATATCATTGTTTCTCTTACTTGTGTGCTCTTTTACCTCCAACTTTCTTATCCCAGGATCTTCACATAAAGTTGTAATATTGAATAAAGATAACGGCTTAAGATTTTGTCAACGATGATATTCAGGTAATATGAGTTATTAGACCGATATTTTCTTGACAAATTTTTGTCTTGTGATGTAATATTTTTGGAAGTGTTGTTGTGGTTTAGGGGACAACATATCTCGGTTTCGTATAGAAATTTATATAGAATCTTGGAAAATCTCATTATGGATAGTTCAAACCAAATACAAAAGAATAATGATGACGGCGGGTATAAAGCTTGAATACAGATGTATAATTAGAATTAGAGTTTCTCTTTTACTTAAGATAACAATATTATGCTAGCCTTATGTTTTCTGTACAACTATTACCTATTTTTTTATGAATGTTGTCAAAAGTAGTGTTCTGGTACCGAGTCTGTGTTGAAGAAGCAGAAGAGGGCCGAAGAGTGGGCTTTTGCAAAGGCAAAAGAGGTTGAAGAGTCGAAGAAGAAGAAAGTCGAGACCCGCAAATTAATCTGCAAGAAAGCTAGCGATTATGCTCAAGAGTATGAGAATCAGGTAAAACCTTAATTTATCCTCTGTTTTAAGAATCAAAATCAAACTTAGCAGCCTTTAATATTTATTAATTTGGTCTGTTTAGGATAAGGGTTGATTTAGTTGAAGCGCGAGGCGAGATTGAAGGGTGGCTTTTATGTCAGCCTAGAAGCTAATCTATTGTTCATAGTCTGAATTCGTGGGTACGCATTTATTGTGCCAATGCAATTGTTCATACTCTCAAATTTACAGTTTATTGTTTTGATTTATCGATTCGATGTATATTTTTTCAGTATCACTCAATTTTCTACTTCAGGGGTTATTTCTTGTAACTGTTTTGTGCTGTCTTATTTCTTCAGCACTTTATTGTAACTGTTGACTTCTCGTCCGCGCGTCTGTTCATTCCGGCATCGATTTATTTTATTTGCTGCCTCGTTAATATTTAAACAGCTGGTTTATTTATTTATGTCGCCGTGGTTGTCCTGAGCTGTGGCTATGGAAAGAATGTACGGCGGCGGTGGTGGTTTGATGATGACCAGAGACTCAAAGCCACGGCTGAGATGGACTTCTGATTTGCATGATCGTTTTGTTGATGCTGTCACTAAGCTTGGTGGCCCCGACAGTGAGTCTCTCTCTCTCTCTCTCTCTCTCTCTCTCTCTCTCTCTCTCTCTCTCTCTCTCTCTCTCTCTCTCTCTCTCTCTCTCTCTCTCTCTCTCTCTCTCTCTCTCTCTCTCTCTCCCTCTCTCTCTCTCTCTCTCTCTCTCTCTCTCTCTCTCTCTCTCTCTCTTACAGTCTCTCTCTCTCTCTCTCTCTCTTTCTTAGAATTATGGAAACATTTGTTTTCTTGAATCATGTGAAGAAATGGATCCTCTGTTTCGGAATTAGAAACATCGTATCGGAATTAGAAACATCGTATCGTGTTAGATAGATTGTAAATTACTCGATCGGTGCACGCGCATTCGGGATTTTTAATACTAATAAATATTCTCCGACGACGAATCTAAAAAGTCACGGTATCGAATTTGCAGAGGCTCAAATCTGTATTGAGGCTAATGGGATTGAAGGGATTGACTTTGTATCACTTAAAGAGTCATTTACAGGTACTTATTTTAGTTACTCGTTTAATTTCACGAACTCCTCGTTTTTCATCTTAAACGACGTTTAATTTTCTCGTTACTCGTTTCGCTTGTCCAGAAATATAGACTTGGACAACAACAAGAAGCCAAAAAACATAATGTTCTTGATCACAATACAGAGAACAGTGGTGAGTCGATTTTCTTTGATTTAAACGACTTATATTTTCGTCTGATTTATTTCGTTTTATTACTGTCTTAATTATTTCTGGATTCTATGTTCTACAAAGTTCTTATGGGCATCATAACATGCGTATCGCAAGCACGAGCGCTAATTCATCGAGCATGAATAGTGAACAAGGGTAGGTGTTTTAATTTCGACTCGATTTTTAAATATTTCAATGATTTTTGATATCACTATAATATAAGTTGCTTATCGAAATAATCTCGTTCGATTAAAAGCTAATTTCGATTAACATTGAACAGAGACATTCCGATTGCTGAAGCACTTAGGTGTCAGATTGAAGTGCAGAAAACACTGCAACAACAGCTTGAGGTATATATATTATATATATTAACTGACATAATTTAAATAAAAATAAATAAATAAAATGAATATATATATTAATTTTTATTTTCCTGTGACAGGTGCAGAAGAAATTGCAAATGAGAATAGAAGCTGAAGGGAAGTACTTGCAATCGATACTCGAAAAGGCTCAACACAGCCTTTCTCCCGACATAAACCAGTCCGAAAATCTGGAATTAACGAAATCTCAATTAACCGACTTCAATTTAGCCCTCTCAAATTTAATGCAAACGATAAACGGAGACGAAATAAATGGAAATAAAGTAGCACGCGAAACGAGAGACCATATGAAGCTTGAAACCGAAGGGCCTTTGATCGAGTTTGATTTAAATTCAAGAAGTAGCTATGATTTCATCGGCATCAATAATCGAGCAGTACTCGGAGCTAACCAATTCGAAAATAGGTGAGTTTTTTTTTGTTTTCTTCTAATAAAGCTCGGTGATGGTCGACGTTGTTTGTGTCTTTGTTTAACTTTTCTCCTTTCTATAAAATTTTGGGTCGATGCTGTTTTCATAGCTCATCAATTCACGTGTTGGTTTCGAGTTCCTCTTCGGGCAACTTATCTCAAGGTTAGCCCTTCTCTGTTATGACATTATGTGATGTTTGCTGGTGGGTAGAGTCATGTTGTTACCGGTAAATACCATGTTCCTAATGGTTTTGCCTATTGTTTTTTTGCTGTTTCATTCGTAGCTTTGTTTTGTCTTCTTTTATCGGCATATAATTTATTTTTCTAAAGCACCATTTCAAGTTTTTTTTTTCTTTTCTAAATTATATGGATGGATTCAGATTTCAATGATCTCATTTTCTTTTCTAGGTTGCATGATGGATCCACAAAAAACCAAATTGTCATGAAATCAACTTCTTGGCTGCATGTTGACATTGCTCAGGTTATAAATCATGATTAACACATTTTTACTTTTTTTATCATAATTTATTTGTTATTCAGTTGTGACTGTATTTGATTCATATGCTCACTTGAGATTGGCAATATGGAGGGATGTTCTCGCAATTATTTGGCTATTTTGATTTTTTTTTTCACTAAAAGGTTTCATTTCTCTGCTTCACTGTTTATTGAATCTTCATAATTACTTCGAGTTGCTAATTCCTTCTACCTCAGAACGTTTTCGAGATTATGCAATCAAGGAATTCATTTTATTGTTCTACTCTACTGGCTTCTTTCTTGCAGCAGCCCCACTTTCAGTAATTAGTAATTTCTAATGAAAGATACGGAAGTGCAACACCAACTCGACCTTCAGTAATTACTTGTGGACTCGGTTGGCTGGTAATGATGAAAACCTATTATGTTTCTCTTTTTCCAAATTTTAATCACATTTCTTATGATTCGTACTGTAAATTTAGGTGGCTAGAGCTTTGCTTGATTCTCCTTTTGGCAATCCCACAGGTCCCAGTGCAGTATAGTAAGAATTGATACAATATTGCAATATTGTAAGAATCAATACATAACTCAATATTCAAATAAATCATCTTTTTAATAAAATATATCTCCTTACATTGGTTTCAGTGAATATAACTGTGCTTCAACTAAATGTTCTGAACAATAGGTATATATCTACATGCCCATCTAATGAGATAATTAATAAGATGAGCAATCTACGAGAAGAATTACAAGGTAATAGTGAATTTTATGTATTGATTCTTTCAGCTTTTATTTTATTTAATTTGCAGACAGTGGGAGATGAATCGAGTGATGAATTAGGTATAGTTGAACAACCTTCTTCATATGGGACAGTGA